TCTCTGCCTCCTGAGTGCTGAGATTAAAGGCTTGTGCCACTGTGCCTGGCCTCAGACTGTCTTTTCACAACACAAGTGAGTTGAGAAGGCACCCCATTGAGTGGAAGACAGTTATGGGCCTTTCCTGTGAACTCAAGGGGAGGGTGGAGAACTCATCTGGCTAATTAATTTGTTTTTGAGACATCCATTTATCTTTGAGACGGTCTCAAAAGCCCTCCTGCCCTCACCTCCCAAGTAATAGGATTACAGATGTGCCCTCACCCTGGGTTTTCTCTGAAACCAACCCACACACCACCAACCCCCCCCACCCCCCCGTGAGACAGGCTTGGTGAGCATCTACTAAAATTCTAGGACATCCTAGGTAAGAACATGAAGCCTACTGCTCAGTAGAAGCAGTTCCTGTGGCCAGATGTGTGCTCTCTGACCCACTGCATCCCATCGTCTCCTCAGGTGACCTAACCAGGTGTTGACTTCCAGGCAGCGCCCATACAAGGATAAGCAGCAGAGCCCGCCCCTCAGGCAGGGGTGGAATTGACGTGAGGAACCAAACAAGGACTTAAAGCTAATCGCGCTATTCTGACATTCTGTTCTTGGAGGTGAGGAGGGTGGAATGAGTGACATCCTCGTCATAGAACTGCCGGCAGAGATGACAGAAGCCTCTCAGATGCTAGGTGCTGCTCAAGGAGAAGATTCAAAACAGGGCCACCCACGGTGTGCTCAGATGAGAGCCCAGAGGATATGCTGAGTCCCTAACACAGAATGACTTAAGGATCACTTTAGGCCAAGAGGCTTAGCCTGCGACAGCAGCCACTCTGCCCTGGAGCATTTAGGGGTGACCTCTCTTCCCTTCTCAGCAGGGAGTGGTTGGTAGACTAGTTAGTTCATCCTTGGCTAGTGAGGCAGTCTTTGGCTCAAGCACCAGTCTTGACAGAATAGCTGGCTGGCTTCACAAAAGCCAGTACTCTCTGGCCTCTGTGTAGGTGGCACGGAGGGCACGCACCTCTAGGCCTTGCAGGCTGGCCGACTGCTTCCTCACAGGCCACTGTGCAAAGTCAGCACGGTTACTCTCATTTCACAGGTGGGAAATAAGGTTGAGAGAGGGCATGGGGTGGGAAATAAGGTTGAGAGGGCATGGAACTTTTCCAAGGCCATCCAGCTGCTGAGCCACAAAGCTGGGCTGCTGGTTGGCATCCTTGTCTGGGAGTCTGAGCCACTGAGCCTCCACTCTTGTCTGCCTCACTTTCCGGCTAATTCAGGACCCATGGAAAAGCATCAGATGGGCCCTCAGCGGGCAGTGGAACCAGCCAGCAAGGTTAAGTTTAGACTTTAGCCACCATCCTGGAAAGTGTTTTAGACAGTTTGTTTAGAATGTTTGGTGTCTCCCCAGTATCTTCTAGGGAAGGTTGAGATAAGCATGCAAAAGACCCCAAGCAAATAAACCACAGAGAAATGACAATGCAGGATTACAGTTAGGCTGCCTGGATACAGGGTTTCATCTAATAACCCTCTTAAATCCACCTGCCAAGCAATCCCTCCTGGAAGACCACCAGGGGCCACCTCTGACTTCTTCATCTCCAGCTTTCAATCTTGGCGCACAGTAGGTGCTCAGCGAACCCAGTGACACATGAGAGTCATTTGTGGAGAAGGGCTAAGGGCCTTTCCACTTAGGATCCGGTGAAGGCCCTCCTAGTACACCTTGCTTTCCCACCCGAAACAGGCCAGACAGAAGTCCAGACAGACGTGGGATGGAATGCAGTGGCAACTGTTGGCTGTCCAGGGGCCTTGGATCTTGCTACCTGGTTCTGGCTGTGACCCTCATTGGCGAGGGTGTCACTTCAGTTGGGTTGTGGTTTGGATATAAAGTGCCCCCACCCAGTTCTTATGTGAAGACTTAGTCCTCAGTCGGTGGCACTTTGGAGGATGATCAGCAATATGAAGCCACTAGCTTTATCAATGGATTCACCCACTGATGAATTCCTAGCTGAGGGCGCGCATCAGAGGTAGGGCCTAGCTAGAGGAAGTCGGTCACTGTGGGGCATGCCTTGGAATAGTAATCCCTCGTTTCTGGAGTGTTTCTCTCTCTCTCTCTCTCTCTCTCTCTCTCTCTCTCTCTCTCTCTCTCTCTCTCCCCTCCCTCCTTCTTCTTTACTGCCATGAGGCAAGCAGACCCTACATTCAATCCCCAGTACTTCACTGCTCCCCATGACCCTAAAAAGTTAGTAAACTGTGGAAACTATGAACAAAACAGTAACTCTTGCTTCTTTTATTTTACTTGGATAATTTTGTCCCAGTAAGAAAGCATTGACACAGGGGGAGAATTTAGGTGTCTGTTTAAGGGGTTCTGTGTCCAAAGAGATAGGGACTCTGAAAGAGAGAAAATTGGAGGCCAGCCTTCCTCTTTATTGGGCCTCAAGGTACTAACCCAGCCTTTGTCTGATACCTCCAGGATTGGAGACAAACAGGGACAATGCCCAGACCTGTGCTGGGCTCAGGTTGGTCTGCTTGGACCAACTGTGTGGACTGTGGTCTCTTCACCTGTGGCCTTAAAACTGCCACTGTAGGGTTGCCATAGGATCCATGGGGGCTGGAAGGGTGGAATGGCTTCTGAGTTGGTGAGACTAAACTCTGAGGCTGGCTCTGCACTCTACAGCCCCTTCCAACATGGACTGAGAAGATCCCACAGTCTCTGAGCCTCATTTTACCTCCTGTAAGATAGGCATGGGGAAGGAGGATCTGTGTCTTAGAGTCCCAGAATGATGACAACCCATATGTGGCTACCACCTGAACCAGGACAAGCCCCCAGCCAACAGTACCTGCTGCTTTGGTGACTGCTGTCATCACCATTGTGACAGAATGCCTGGAGCGTGGTCTTGAGAACACAGTGGATGATGAACTTGTCTTTACTGAATGTTTTTGGTGTCTATGGTCAGGTACCTATAAAAGGACCCTGACTGGAGGAGGACCTGCTCCCATCCTTACAAAGAGTTTGTTCCATTCACCTCCCCAGGGACAGTGAGTTTTAGCTGTCAACCTGAAGCCGTCTAGAATCACCTGTGAAGAGGGTTAATAAAGAAATGCCTAAATCAGGTTGGCCTGCGGGCATGTCTGTAGGAGACTGTCTTGATTTCATTCAATGATGCGGGAAGACCTAGCCCGCTCTGGATGGCACCATTCCCTGGATTTGGGTCTTGGTCTGTGTAAGAGTAGAGAAAGTGAGTTGCGCATGTATGTGCTCATTCTGTCTCTGCCCTTCACTGTGGATGCGCCGAGCTGCATCAAGTCCTGCCTCCTTGGTTTCCCTACAGCAAAGGGCTGTGTCCTGGAATTGTGAGCCAATTTTCCTCCTGAGCTGGCTTTTGGCAGGATGTTGTATCACAGCAACAGAAAGTGAAACTTGGCCGTTCCCTGGGTCATGTCCAGTGTTTGGTACTTTGGGTACCTGCTGTATTGTCCTGAAAGGGACACCCGTCCTCGTCCTCGGGAGCAATGAGGAGAGGGGAACAGCAGGAGACAGTGTCGCTACAACAGCTTCCCTCCATTTCCCGCTTCCCATCCCAGGAATCCTCTGGAACACCAATGCCAGAGTGAGCAACCCAAACCCCCACCCGTAGGCCTTTCCTCCTTTGCTAAGAGCCTTGGTGTCTCTTCAGTCCTGTGGCACAGCCCACACTCCTCAAAGATTGGGAGAGGCAGCTGTGGAGGGGGTATTCCACAACTTCTCTTCCCCCATCTTTTTGTTTGTTTGTTTGTCTGTTTCAAGATAGGGTTTCTCTGTAGTTTTTGGTGCCTGTCCTGGAGCTAGCTCTTGTAGACCAGGCTGGCCTCGAACTCACAGAGATCCACCCACCTCTGCTTCCCGAGTGCTGGGATTAAAGGCGTGTGACACCACCACCACCCAGCTTCGGTTTCCCCCATCTTGCAAACAGACCTGTGCAGGCTACCAGGTGCCTCACCACCAAGCTTCAGTTCTATCATATTTACCGAAACAGGTGGTATGGGGGAAGCCAGTGCCCCTCCTGACTTAGCTCTGTCCTTGGTCCCACCTGATCCACCCCTCACCCCCTCCATCCCTGCAGACTAGTGATCGTTGTGACCAGCCCCACAAGCCCTACAAACCAGGGCTGTCTTTATATCCCCCCTCATCTCCCTCATCCCTGCTGTCCAGGCTGTCTGCAACTGGGAAAGGAGTTGATGCGGCTGCTTCGACTTGCCCCCGGGGCGAGGGCAGCTGAGTGGTGCAGGAAGATGGATGAGGAGGCTTGGGCTTAATGTGGGAGGCCTGGATTGATCCTTGCCAGCCCTGGGAAGTGCGGAGGAAACAGACTCTGCTATGGCAATGCACCACTGTCCCTTTACTTCTGTAGCCCATCTGTACCACGGTTTCGGTGGTGCCAACCTGGCAGGGCTGCCGGGAGCTTAAATGACTAATATATATGTTCACACAGATTTCTGGCACACAGAAATGTCCAGATAGCTCTAAATCCAACTACATGTCCTCAAAGAGTTTAGGAGGAAGAGGTGATTCATTGTCATCCCTGTGGTCCACATACTGAAGAAAAAGAAGTATTGCTGGTGTGGTTTAGCATGTCAGAGACCCTGGGTTCCATCCCTAGAAGCACATGCACGCGCATACGCACACGCGCGTGCGCACACATGCACCCACATCTACTAAAAAGTAGGTATAGGTAAATATAGGAATCTCTGGAGGCAGAAAGTTCTTCTCAGGTCAGGCATTCCTGAGCTGGGGCTCACGCACAAAGAACAAACGTGGGGAATAGCCAATTTCACTGTTTTCCCAGGGTCCTAGCTTTCTGCAAACCAAGCAATCTGACCAAAGAGAGAGTCCAAGTGTCCAGGCGCCAAGAAAGGTAATGTGGGGCGGGATCTGCTGTCCGAGCCGCACCAGAACAGGCGCAGCGCATCCCAGCCCTGACTCCAGACTACAGCTCCCGGCATTCCCCGCGCCTGGTACCCGCCCGCAGCCAGCGGAGGGGAGGCAGCAGACACCGCGGCTGGCGATGAGGATGGAGGCCGGGGAGGCAGCGCCACCGGCGGGGGCGGGCAGCCGCGCCGGGGGCGGCTGGGGCAAGTGGGTGCGGCTGAATGTCGGGGGCACGGTGTTCCTGACCACCCGCCAGACACTGTGCCGGGAGCAGAAGTCCTTCCTCAGCCGCCTGTGCCAAGGCGAAGAGCTGCAGTCGGACCGGGTGAGCCCGAGGAGGGTGGCGTCTGGGTTCCGCGCTCGGGGGCTATCCGGCCTGCATGTCCCTCGCTCTCGGCCTGGGCGGTGTAGCTTTCATAGGATCCCGAGGCGGGAAGCCCGGGCAGGAGGACGGGGAGGAAGCGGAGCCAAGAGGGATAGCTGTGCCCATTGCCGTGGCAACGGGACAGCACAGGCCACAGCCATTTGGAGCCTTGGAGCGCTGTCCTGGATTCGGGACGCTCCCTTGCTGTGGGGCGGTGCCGGGGGACCGACAAGCCTGGCCTGCCGCGCTGCTCTGGCAGACTCCAGCGTTAGGAGTTGATGCGGCTGCTTACCCCCGCCCTTGGGGTGTGGGTAGCTGAGGGGTGCAGGGAGCTGGATGGAGGAGGCCTAGGTTGTCTTGGAGCTGGGCTTAATGTGGGGAAGAACCCTGGCCTACCAGATACCACTTGTGGGCTCACCCTGTTCTCCTGCCAACTCCCCAATGACCTGGGAGGAATGGGGGTAGGACGGACTTCCCTGTTCTGATTTCGGCCTCCTCGTGTGCAAGGCCTCTGAAGTTGGCTTGTGAAAGTCCCCTGGCCCCCATTCTGTGACGCTCTCTGTGTCCTTGGGTGAGTCCCCTGCTTCTTGATGGGTCGTACTGATGCCAGCTCTGCCTCCCTGCGGGCTGCTAGTGTCCAATCAGAGAGCAGCTTCTTGGGAAACTTCAAGCATCTGGTGGATAGTGGGGTTAGCTCAGGGGGACAGCCTTCAAGAAGAAAACTTTCCCAAGAGGGAAATTTACTGAGTCCTGTGCTGAGCTAGGGTTTACTCGGAAGTAAACTCAGAACTCTATGCTCACGCTTTAGCCACTGATTATGGGGGAGAGAAGAGATGCCTCGAGAGCCCAAATGACTGACTCAAGGTCACACAGTCTAGAAAAGACAGGGTTGGAACCCAGCACCTTGTTCTTCCATCTCATCCCCCTTCCTCTCTCCCTGCAGTCCTTTTCCAGCCTTTGGTGAGTTGAGCTTATGTGTGGGACTGGGCTTGGGGCAGCTTACAACCCTCTCACTTCTATGGTCATCTCCACAGGATGAGACCGGGGCCTACCTCATTGACCGAGACCCCACCTACTTCGGGCCCATACTGAACTTCCTCAGGCATGGCAAACTGGTGCTGGACAAGGACATGGCTGAGGAGGGTGAGTTGGTTCCTTGTGCTGGTCTGGGGCTCTCTGGAGCCAGGCAGAGCCTTCGGGTGGGGAGGCGTAAAAATCATTCTTGTAGTCAGGGTAGCATCTACTTTCCCCCATTATTTTCTGCCTGTCCTGCAGTGGGGTCCCGTTCTCCAGGTCTCTGCCAATCTGACAGACCCAAGCTGTCACTGAGTGCTGTTGGGGAAGTGATGTGGAAATGGAAGAGGATCCAGGGAGCCAGTGAGGCCCCGAGGTTTCTGCTGACTTTGGGAATGACCTTGCTCCCAAGCCTTCAGGAAGGCCTGATGTGACCTGTGATGCTCCAGGCTGGATGGGAGAAGTGTTGGGGCCGCCTTTGCCTTATTCTGTGTCTCCCAAGCAGGGTCTTGCCATCAGCCATTGGGTGGAGTTCCCAAAGCTGGATGCTTCTGCAGCCCAGTGGCTGGTGGGGAAGTTGGGGTGCTGTTCCTGGTAGGACTTTTGCCCTTCCCAGGCCTGTGGAGGTTCATATCCTGGCCCAACTGACTTAGAAGCAGTGTAGAGAATAGGCCAGGGGCAGGGACTGCAGTCATCCTCAAACAGGCTCTCCCTTGTACACTTGAGTGTCGCTCTGGATCGGGCCAGACCAGCTTGGACATGTCCGTCTTCTCTGGGTCTCCACTAGTGCCTACAAAATGGGCATCATGACCCACATTCAAAAGAGTGGTGTTGGTACTGCAGATGGGCCCTGTGAATCTGTGGGTGTTTTACACAGCTCTTGCTCTAGGCAGTGATCTTCTCTGGATGACCCCAACGGGGTACAGTGGTCTGAAGATCTCCCCAATGGACAGGGAGATCATACTCAGAACTCACTGTAGGTAGCTCGCTCTGCCCAGCCTCCAGCTAGCTGCCTAGCAGTCCGAGGGGAAGAGATCACGTGTGTGGGGCCTGGGCTCAGGAGCAGGTCCCTCTGGGAGGCTCACGCTTCAGCTGCATCACAGCCAACACCTGTTTACAGGTTCTAGCCATTCAAAGCTCTGCTGTTCTCACAACTTCACATGGCGGAGTATATAAAAGAGATGGATTTCAGGAGGGAGCTTGCTGTGTGGCAGTGGAAATGTTAGTTAACCTCTCTGGGTCTACAGAGTCTGGAGGTAGTTGCACCTACCACACTAGGCAGTGGCAAGGTAGACAAGAGTGTCTCACAGCCTGGGGTACATAGCTTAGGGTTGTATGCCTGTCATGGTTTCTCTCAGCCCAGGCCTGGGAGATTTCTGTCACTCAGACAGTGGTCATTGCTGACTGTCCCTTCGGGCAAGTATGGGCTAAACACCAATAGAGATCAGAATGACCTCTGGTCCAGTTCCAGCTGCTGTAAGGAAGTCCCAGAGGCTCGGGGACTGTGACAACAGCCGCTGACCCCTTCCACTTTATAGGCTGGGATTCAGGGTCAGTGTGTTAGCCTAGAGGCCTGACCCTTCCCCCTGCTGCCAGCTGCCCACTGTGTGCTCTCCGCAGGCAGAGGGATTCATTGGCCGTCAGCCACCATTCAGAGAGCACTCATTTCCTTGGATTTCCGTCATCATGACCCCTCACCTCCCAGCCAGAGTCCCTCCATCACGTGGCAGTTAGGTTTCAGAGGTTCAGGATTGAGAGGATATAACAGTCTGTGATGGTCCCTGTCCCCAGAGAGCCCAGGAGCCCACATTTTGCAGGGACTTCCTGTAGTCCAGACTCCTGAGAGCTCTTTGCACTTCACTGAGTGGAAGGAGGGATGACTGACTTACTCTTGAAGGTCAGTCTATAGCACACAGACAGTGATACCTGCGTCCCTCATGTCCCGGAACCTCTGATGAATCCATAAAAGCTTTATCAGCAGTAACGGGTGGTAGCTGGGAGTGCCCCAAAATTTACTTCTATCGAGGGGTTCAGGGCTCTGAAAGTGGAGCTTGCCTTGACTCTGTGGCTTACAGGCCCCGTGACCTTGGACAAGCTGTTTTTCTCTCAGCCTCAGTTTCGCCGGTTGTTCAGTGGACATAAGGAAAGTGTTCACTTCTAGTTCTGACACGTATCATAATGCAACAGGCCTGGTACTTCGCATGTGTTTGATGAATGAGGACACACAGTGGGTGGCCTAGGCCCTCGCTGTAGTATTCTAGGACACAGTCCCAGCAAGCCTTCTCTCTTGATGCCCAAAACGTTCAGGGCCATCAGGTAGTCCTGGATCACATGCTCACTGCAGCACAGGAGACGGGGCTGACTGAAGAGTGGCATCTCAGCTTCTTATGTGGGGACCAAGGAACAAAAATGTTTTGTTTGGATTGAACCAGGTCTCATATAACCCAGGCTGGCTCAAACACATTAAGTAACGAAGGATATCTTTGAACTTCTCATCCTCGTGCCTCTACCTCCCAAGTGCTAGGATTACAAGTGTTCACCACCACTCATGGTTTGTGCAGTGCTGGGGATCAAACCTGGGCTTTGTACATGCTAGTCAGTCACTCTCCCAATCGAGCAAATCCCTCGATCTGAAATGTTCCCTCTTTCTTGACCCCTAAATTCCTAGACTCTAGGAGTGTGACCAGAGCAGGAAGTTGGTCTGGGGACAGGAGAATGGAGCATGGAGACAGTAGAGGTGACCAGCTGCTCTGTGTTCTAGGGGTCCTGGAGGAAGCTGAGTTCTACAACATCGGGCCCCTGATCCGAATCATCAAAGACAGGATGGAGGAGAAAGACTACACAGTGACCCAGGTTTGGAGAGAGGAACCAGGACCCGTGGTGGGAAAATGGGGGGTGGTGAAGGGGAGAGGGAGGCCTTCCAGACTGTTTGACAAGCCCCATCCTGGATATATACTGCTAGGGTTCTGCCCCTGACTTGGCTCCTGCTGTGTGTGGCCAAAGGTTATCATGCCCTTCTTTGTTTTCCTCCGTGGAAAGTAGAGATGCTCAAAGTTGCCTAGCTACCTTTGCTCACAGCGGATGCCAGTAACAGTACAATCACCCACCCAACCCCACCCAAGGCCATACAGGATGAGTAAATGTCTACCTCATGGAGTCAGGCGTCCCCTGTAGGTACCCATGAGCTGTTGGGGCTGGCATTTCAGAGCTCAGACCCCAGGTCTCTGGGGGACAGGATGAGACATCACCTCCCAACCACAGGGGCTAAAGAGGTGAGGGCCTGACTTGGCTGGTAACCCAGTCTCCCCAAATCCTTCCCAGATTCCCTCTCGTTTCGCCCATATTCCACACATGGCTCTCCCACCCCTCAGCTGGTGACCCTGGGCAAGTAACTGAACCTCTCTGAGAGCCTCAGTATAAAATTCCAAAATGCCTAAGGGTCTCAGAAGGAAGAGTCCTGCAAGGGAAGCATCAGGCACACAGGTATTCAGATCACGGCTCCCTCCTCCCTGTCTATCTTTCCTGCCCTCCATCTAGGATTATACAGTGTGGGAAGAAGCAGCTGGGTGCCTGGTGCCCTTAGAGGTGCCCTCCATGTGACCCTTTGACCCACAGGTGCCACCCAAGCATGTGTACCGTGTCCTGCAGTGCCAGGAGGAGGAGCTCACACAGATGGTTTCCACCATGTCTGATGGCTGGCGCTTCGAGCAGGTGGGCTGGGTACAAGGGACACCCTAAGCTTTGCCCTTTCTGCAGTCTCAGCCTCCAGTCCCTACCCCTGCCCAAACCCAGAGTCTTCTTGAATGGAACTAAGCAAGACTAGAAAAGTGACTGCTGGGCACAGGCGGACTGAGAAGGAGGCAAGGGACACTTGTCACTGGGCATTCTAGTTGCTGGGGTTCTGCACAGCAGCTGGTCTCTGGTCCTCAGGGGCAGCTCAGGTATAGGAGGTCAGAACCACAGAGTCGAATGGAATCCGTGCCATACCCTGGGCCTGACCTCCAGGGCTCATGACAGCTGTGCACAGTGATTCTCTTTCCTGGAAGCCCCAGGTGGTGGCTTCCCAAGGTACGTGCCTCCAGGCCATATGTGGCTCACCACAGGAGTAGCCTGTTATCAGCCACGTGGACAGACTCTGCCTCTTGGGTTTCTAGAGCCATAGCACCCCCCCACACACACACACACCCCGAACTCAAGGTTCAATCTGCCCTGAGAACAAGAGAAGAGATGAGCTAGTCCCTATGCACCTAGCCCACCAGCCTCTTCCCACAGAGAAACTGAAGCAGAAGGCTAGGATTCCAGGATAGCCATTGTGAGGAAAATCAACCTGCCAGCTAGGACGGGAGGGCCCCCTCTCTTCCAGCCCTGCCCTCTGTCACTCCTCCTCCTTGAGCAAGCCAGCTCCTCTCCCAGCCTCTCCCATGATGTGAGCTCATGGTATCCCCTTCCCAAGGCCTTTGTGAAGCTGAGAAGAAGCCGTCAGGAAAGGTTCTAGCTTTGGATAGGACTGACTCCATCGGCACCAGTGCCCTACCTATTAGGAGAGCCACATCTACACTCAAAATGGAGGCAGGAAGTCAAGCCCTGTCTCAGAAAACCTAGAAATGGTGTGAACAAATCTGTAAGACCCCAGGGAGGCTATGGAGGGCTCCTGGGCTGGGTCCCTGGCCTGCCACTTGCTAGTGTGGGTCCTTCAGTAGACTGCCATCTCTCTTGCCCTCTGCTGGCAAGGAGGGTAATGAGTCCTACCCTTCCTCCAGCTGGTGAACATCGGTTCCTCCTACAACTACGGCAGCGAGGACCAGGCCGAGTTCCTGTGTGTGGTGTCTAAGGAACTCCATAGCTCCCCACACGGCCTAAGTTCCGAGTCTAGCCGTAAGACCAAGGTGAGTCCCTGCCCTGTGCGCAGACAGCACCTCTCCCCCATTCCGCTGTTCCGTCCTCCCTCCTGCTGCACCCACATAACGCTCATGGTCATGGTCACAGCCAATGCCATCCATCCCATGCCACTACAGTCCAGTCAGCTCACACCCTTGGCCCAGGCTGGGGAGCAGTCAGGTAGCACCGTTGCAGGGCACAGACAGGGCGGCGGGCTTGACGCCTCTTATTCATGAGGCCACATGGTAAGGTGTTGGAGCCTGAGGCAGAGCGCCGAGCGAGGGGCCCAGGTGTGGTGCACTGCTCTGTCTCTCTTCTCACATCTTTGCTGTATTTTCTGTGAAGGGAGAGGTGGCTTGTATGTGCTCTGGAGATTCCACACCGGAACTCCTGGCTTCCCAGCTGCTGGATTATTTCCCAGGGACTAGCAACTAGCAACTGTCTAGTGTCAGCCTAGGTCAGGATGGGGAAGTCCCACAGCCCTACCCTTCCCAGGCCTTTTGGGCAGCCTGGTGTCAGGAGCCCTGTGGGTTCTGGCCTAGGCAGCAATCTCCCAAGTTGGCAGCCAGCCTGTGGGGAAGAGCTGAGTAGGGTCCAGTACCCTTGGGCCTGCAGTAGGGCCCACACCATAGGCATGATCTAGGTTGGGAAGGTGGACGCTGTGCCCATGTGCAGGAGTCTTAGGCACTCTGGCTTCCTGTGTGTCACCACCCAGCCCTGCTGTGATCCCTTACCGCCACCACCCCCATGCCTGTGGCTGGCTCCCTCCTCTAAGAGTGCAGGGTGCCCTACTGCTCTGCCTCCCTGTGTCACCAACCTGGCCCAGGCTGCCAGGCACTGTTGCTGGCATCTAGATCTGGCTGGTGACTGCCCTGGGACAACCTTGGCTTCCTGCTCTGGATCCATCCTCCCAAAGTAAGGCCTTCCCAGGAGCCCAGTGGCTCCTCTTCCAGCCTTCCCCATAGCTGGGCTCCCTAACAGCAGCCTGGCTGGTCTCTGAGCATCCCCTCTGGGCTAGGGAAGACGCACCAGCTGCTTTGGCTGAAGCCCTCTTCTCTCAGAGGTCCCTTTCATCCCACCTGCCCCTCTGTCCTGAGGTCGGGGGTCCCTGCGGACAGCCGCCCGCAGCCTTGCCCCCTCGTCAGTGTCTCCACTCTCTCTTCCCTGATCGGTGGCGGGTGCGCAGAGCACGGACGAGCAGCTGGAGGAGCAGCGGCGGCAGGAGGTGGAGGAGGTGGAGGTGGCCCAGGTGCAGGTGGAGGCGGATGCCCAGGAGAAAGGTGCAGCCCGCCCCCAAGAGGACGATTGCTAATGACAGCCCGGGCCTCCCGCCCTCTCCCTGCTGGAGCAGCTGCCGCCGGGAACTGCGGGGGCGGGCCACCAGGGTTAGCTCAGCGCCTGGCGCCTCGCCCATAACCATCCCTCTCTCACTTTCTCTTGCAGCCCTGTCATCTCAGGATCCCGCTAACCTTTTCTCCCTCCCACCACCGCCTCCTCCTCCTCCGCTTCCTGCTGGAGGTCCTGCTTCATCTTCATCCACCTCCTCTTCCTCCTGGATCTCATCTGCACCCTGCCTCTTCCCTCTCTGCCCCTGCCCAGGTTTCCTCTCCGCCTGCTCCCGTCTCCACCCTGGGGCTGCCCTAGTCCCAGTCTCCCGTGCCCTCTCCCCGGGCCCCCTGGCCCTGCATCCCCAAGCATCCTGCCTGCCGCCTCCTGTGCCCCTTTCGGCCCCTTCTGCCTCCTGGCCTGGGGAGGAGGGGCGTAGCCGCATCTGCTCTCTGTCCTCCAACCCAGCAGGGCACCTCTGAGGCTGGCCTTGGCCACAGGCCCCACTCTTCCCGCTTGCCTCCTCACGTTTCCTCCTTGCAGGTCCCTGTCCGCACCCTCCCAGACCCAAGCCTGAGCTTGCTGTGAGAGCTCCTCGGCCCCGCGCCCGCCCCCAGAGCTGCCGCCCCTGGTTTGTAGCCTGGCAGAGCTGGAGGGAGGGGCGGAAGCAAGGAGGGTGCTCATATCTTGTCCTTGGACTTGAGCCCAGCTTTTGACTGATTCTCTCCACCCACCAAAGTCTCTCAACTTATCTGGGCTTGGGGTGAGGTCCTGAGAGCTGAAAAAGTCCAGAGGTGGAGACTCTTGTATCTGCCTGTCTATAGTCAGTCAGCACTGGAGCCAGGCCCGGGGAGGGGAGGACTAGCCGTGCGCCTCTGCCCCATCACGCATGTCTAGAAGCTCGTGCAGCACTGCATGTGGGTACTGTGTCCCCTAGTTCTGTGGAGTGGGTGGCCAAGCCACATGTGGTGTCCCTTGACTGATGAGCTGGCAAGAGCCTGCCAAGGATTGGAGCGTGGCAAGAAAAGACCTGATCTCTAACTGGGTGACCACAGCCCCCAGTCAAGCTGATCTCCCTGTGTGACCTTGGGCAAGTCACTGCCTCTCTTTGGGCCATAGTTGGAGTCTAAGATGGGGCGAACAGCTGCTTCCGGTGGCCCCCTTTTGCCTGGGAAAACAGTGATCTGCCTCTCCTATCCCTGTCCCCTCACCAGGCTGCCACCACCAGCCCAAGACTGGCAGTTTCTCCCCTCCTCGGCCCTGACTCCGCCTCCTTTGGGCCTCAGCCCCGCCCCTCCTCCAGAGCCAGCCTGGGACTCACTTGCCTTTCTCTCTCCCTCTCTCCCTCCCTCCCCCACTCTCCTCAACTTTCCTGTCCTGGCATCACCCTATCCTCACCCCCCACCCTGATTTTCTGACCCCCTTCTCCGCTTCCTTCTGTCCCTCTCCTCTCTTATTTTCTAGCTATTACAAGCCAGAGGCACCCGGATGTGAGCCCCCAGATCACCTCCAGGGACTTGGGGTTCCGATCTGAAATCCTTTATTTTTGTACCACGGGGTGGGCCCCCGGCCCGAGGAGGAAGACTTGCCCTCTCCCTTGTCACTGCTGCCTGCACCTGCCGGGCTGGGACCCAATCCTGCCTTCAGGCCCAGGCCTGGGGCCCTCTGGGACCTTGGAAGGCTTGAGGTGGGCCCTGGGGTCTCCAGGCAGAGTCACCTGCCCATGGCCAAAGTGTGGCACTGCCCACCCATATCTCCCAGGTCCTTTTGTCCCCTTGCCTGGGTCCCCTTGCTGCATGGCAGATACACTCTCTCCCAGCCCAGTCATAGCACCTCCTGCAGCCTCCATGGCACCCCTCCTCCTCCCACCTACCTCACAGGGGTGTTGTGAGGACCGGGGAGGAATGGGGTTCCTAAGCCCTAAGTGTCTGGAGCTGCAGTGGTTTCCTTCTGGGGGGAGGGACTCTGGCCTAACCCCCAAGTGGGACGTTATGGCTTCAGATACTGGTGGGGGACAATGCGAGGACTTAGCCAAGCAGGAAGGAAGCTGCAGACTTGGCATCACCTTGGCTGCCCCTCCCCCGTGCCACCATGCCTTTGGCAGCAGAGTGCGCTGGCGAGTCTTTGAGGCTGCCCAGGAACTTGTGGTGGGGGAGGGGGCAGGTGTGAAAGGGGCTGAGCTGCCCCTACGTGTCTTGACCCCTTGGGATGGGCACACATCTGTCAGCTGTGTCCCACTCACCCTGAAATAAACCTGAACAAACAAGCCGGCCTGGCTGCCTCCCTCTTTCTCTAGGCCACTTTTGGGACAGGGCTTAAGCTCAGGTGTGGTAGACCCACTTTTCCTGAAACCCCCTACTGTTGTCTCTTTCCCAAGTGTTTGACGAAGTCCTGTACTCAGGAGTCAGAGTTGAGGCTCCCTGCTCAACCAGCAGCCTAGGCCCTGGGCCACCCCTCTACTTCCTGCCGGATCACCTCACCCTCTTACCTCAGGCATCATACTCCCTTTGTGAAGCTGGGCCGCCAGCTTCTGACTGTCCCTAACCTGGCAGTGGTGCACTAAGGTTAGGGGCCAGGGCACCCTCCTGTCAGCTCACAGCTCGGAAAACATCACCTCAGCCCTGAGGATGTGCAGTTCCTAAAGGTGAGCCCACTTTTCCTGCCAGCTCTTCAGGAGCCAGCTAGAGCTTTGTTGAAAGATGGGGTCCTCCTTCCCCACCTGTTTTAATTTTAATAGAGAATAGGTGGGACCCCTATTTTAACCCCCTAGGGCTAGGAATTGGGGGGACTGCCATATGACCCTTTTGTGCCTTACACACAGGTGCCAGAGGCCCTTGTTATCTGCCTGGCCCCGTCCCTTCCTAGCAGGACCCAGTGTCTCCCGCAGCTTCCTGGTTGACCCTTTGCCTTCATGCCTGTCAGTTCCAGAGCTCTGTGCACGTGCCACTTGTCACTGCCTCCAGGGGGCGCCCCTGTGTCCTAAGTCTTCCAGCTCACCTCCATGGCTTGTTCCAGCCATCTCTGTTCTCTCCCTGGATTTCATCGCCAGTCATCTGCCTCCAGCTCCCCCAACATGGTGTGGGTGCTGCTTGTAAGATGTGAAGCAACTCCGCTTTCCAGCCTGCCGTGGCTCCCATAGCCCCCGGGTCAAATCCTCCGCTCATTCTCGGGTCTCACCTCCCTGCAGCCCCCCCCCTGCAGTGCTCCCCATTTTCTCCTCTGTTCTGGCCGTATCCAGCTTGCTGTTCCTTGTGTGCCCCGATATCTGGGGCTATATACCCTTTGTCCTTTGCCTTTGAGTTACACACACACACACACACACACACACACACACACACTCTTCTCTGCAGTGTGGCCTCTGGACTCGTCACAAAGGGTTGATCCAGCAGTAGATCTGATCCAGTTTCAGCCATAAGACGTGTGGGGCCACTCAGAGAGCATCATCGGGGCTTGGTCAAGTGCTTTATTTTCCGAACAGATGGAGGTCCTCCAGGGAATGGCAGGGAGGGCCCCGGAGCAGACCGAGCTGCAGCAGGCACCTGCAGCTGGGGCTGCCCCATGGTGTTTGGCTTATAGTGTGGCCCACTTGGCAGTCTCAAGGGCTCCGCGGGCTGCTGCTTGATAGAGGCACCTTCTTCCCACCCATCCACAGTACACGGGGGCCTCACAGGCTGGCATCTGCTCTCTGAGTCAGTGCCCTCCAAGTAGGGAAGGAATCTTACTTTCCTACAGACTGGGAGCCAGCATCACTGACACCAGACCCCACCCCAAAACAATGGTAGAAGGAGGAAAGAGGGGGAACAGCTAGAACGAGAAAGGGCTAGAGGTGAAGCCAACCGAGGCTGACCCCTGGACCTCAGGCGAAATCCCGACCCCCAGCTGGCATGCCTTCCCTGTGCTGTCACTGGGGTAGGCCTGGGGGAACACGCCTCCCAGAATACTTGTGCCCTGGCTGGGTGGGTGCCCTGAACTTGGGCTGGAGGCGGGTCCAGCTCTGAAGACCAGCTCCTCAGGTCATCACCTGCTGAATCCAGTTGATCACACGTGTGACACGGGTGTAGACGCCAAAGAAGTTGGGTCTGCCACAGCCCAGGCCCCAGCTCACCAGCCCTGCCAGGAACCAGCGGCCACTGGGCTCCCTGCAAACCAGTGGGCCTCCAGAATCACCCTGAAAGAGGAGTGGAGAGACATGACCGCCTCAGGGATCCCCCCTTCAGTCCTTCCCTGTATGACCCAGGCCCAAGGTCTCAGGACATCACCCCAAGGGTCTGCTATGGGCCTGTGCAACCATGGGCAGCCCCCTTGCTCTCTGAAGGCCTCAGGCTCCTCCTCTGTAAAGTGGGTACAGTCATCTTCCCCTCGGCCCAGAACCCGCAGGTCGTTACCTGGCAGGCATCCTTCTTGCCCTTGCGGTAGCCAGCACAGAGCATGCGTGGGGTCACCTGGTAGCGATAGGCTTCACTGCACAAGTCTTGAGGGACCAGCTGCACGTCCACCTTCTGCAGGGTGCTGCTACTGGGACCTGCAGGGAGGGCGGGAGCAAATGAAAGGGGCTAGGAATCTGCTCCCGCTGCGGCTGACCTGACCTCTCGGGAGCCCTTCCCACTGTCACTCCTGGCTCCTCTGCATGGCTTGTGATGACCAAGCCCTCACCTCTGCCCCCTGAAAAGCCTGTTAGAACATGACTTCTTCCTTCCTCGCAAGGGCATCCAGGCTCGGGCAGACTCCCTCTGTTCTACTGTGGCCCCAGGGGAATGCTATCAAATATATGTACGAGCCCCTCATTGAACTCTTAACTCCTTAGTGGCCCTTGCTGTCCATCCCAGATCTTGTCCCGGAGAACTATGGGATAGTAACCCACCAGTCCAGTGCTGGGCCTGACCCCGGGGTTTTGAAGCCCTTTTGATTCTAAGATGTAGGTAGGGAGGCTCCTCCTGAATCCCGTGGCGGCCTTCAAGGGACACCTGCTCCTAGGCCCTCCTTTAGCCACACCTGCCTCCCCTCCGGCTGGGAGCAGCTAACATCCTCAGGCCTTTCTCGCTGACACCACAAACACCTGGTTGCCAGGAACAGCTCAGTCGGTCCAGGCTCAGTGTAGACCCCTCTTCCTAATGCCTTCTGAGCCATGCCGGGCAGGTGCCTCCTCCAGGCTATTTCCTGTTCCTGTCTGTGGTAGCTCACACCATAAGAATGGTCTCGTCTTCCTGCCCCGTGTCTGCTTCAATGCTCAACACATAGTAGGTGCTCGTGTGTGAGCAGTCAAGCGAGGACTCCTGGCTTTGTCTCTGTCATCTTTGCCAAGTCCCCTCTCTGAGTCTCAGCGTCCCCCTGTTTAAGCTATCTCCGCAGAGGCCGGGGTGCAGCTGGGTGGTGAAGCAGTTGTCTTGGCACACGGGAGGCTCTTGTTCAATCCCCAGCACCACACCACACCTGCCCCTCCTTCCGGGTGGTAAATCACCAGCAGCCAAGGTTGCAGTCGACTCTGCAGTTAGGCCTGCCAAGCCTGTGTTTGCAGAACGGGAGGGGAGGGGGAAGCCTCTAAAGATGGCAGCTTCTGTCCATTAAGGCCGGGATGGGAGAAGACCCTTTCTAGCAGCAGAAGCAGAAAACTCTGAGCTCTAGAGAGAGGGCAGTCCTAGGTCTGGGTCCCTGTTTCAGATCCCTTGACTGGGTGGCTTTCAGTAACTAAGGACCCAGCCTCAGTTTTCTCATCAAGAAAATGGAGCCATAATGCCCCCCCACAACTGAGTGGCTTATATGACATTTTTCTCTTCAATCCAGTCTAATAATTAAGAGCCCCATCTGACCCCACCCTCCACCCCAAGGTTCATACAGCCAACTTGGGGCATCCCTGCCCATCCCCTATGCCCCCTGCTTAAGTTCTTCAGTACCTTCCAAGGCAAAGGAGAAACCCACGGGCCATATTACAGATTTTAACTTATAAAATCCAGTTCCATTGATCCCAACGTTGGAGGGCCTGGAGATGGGACCCTGACAGCCCTCCTCCAAGCCTGCACCCGACATCCCAGATCCCGCCGCCTGCCCCTGCTCACCGCCCTCTCGCATGGCTCCCCAGCCCGTGATCCAGCAGTGCTGTCCTGGCTCGAAGAAGTGAGAGCGTGCAGGCAGGCAGACGGGGCGCACGGTGGCTGAGTACACCACAGGGTGGTCCAGCTGCAGCAGGGCCACATCGTAGTCATGGCTGTCCTCCTCATGATACGGGTGCAGGAACAGGCGGCTCACCTTGAAGGACACCTCGCCTGGCCAGCGTGAGTTCTGCCGCATCTTGCCCAGAAACACAGTCCATAGCCTCGGGGAGGCCATGCTGGGTGGGAGGCAGGGGAAGGCATCATAGCCCAGTTGCTTTGTCTCCTGTCCAGAGACCCAGTTGGCAGCAGCCAGCTTTCCCCCTGGAGTTGGGGACCCTGCCTCCCTCTGTCTTCCTTCTCTCAAACCCCTGGCTGGTGTACAGTGCTGACTGAATACATGCCTGGGTTCTCCCGCCTGGGCTCCACCCTCAGCCTTATCTCTCCCTAGTGATGCCTGACCTTCTCTAGGCCTCAGCCCTACCATCTGCAAAATGGGAACATTCTCCACTTCCATATTCTTAGGAGATTCTACGAGACACATAAGAAAAGTCCAGTGCCAGCCTGGGCCAGTGTTTCCCTGTTTGTAGCCCACTTTGCCGACTGGAAGTGGGTGACGGGGTCAGTGGCAGAGAGGTAAGCAGAGCAGGTGGACAGGGCAGAGTGTGCCTGGGGAAGCCAAAAAGGTCCCCAGATGCCAATGGAGGAGACAAGAGAGTTGTCTTCTGTTCTAGGGACTTGAGGGGTTTGGGGCTCAAATCTGGTAAGGACTAGAAGGGGTTCCGCTCACCAGGGAAAGAGGTTTGGGGGCCAGTGAGATGTCCCTGAGAATTTCCCTGGTTCCACCCAGCACCCCCGTCACAGTTCAAATTATGGTAGGGGCTATGGCTTGTGACAGCTTGGGCAGTTGTCTCCTCTACGACCTCCCTAATGTCCAGCGCAGCCCCTGACACGTAGGAGAAGCACAGTTGTTGGGTCACTAGAATGAGTAGATGATTGTGGCATCAACTTAAAGCCAGAGGAGAGCACAGGAAGGTTGAACAACAAGCCTAGCGACACACAGCATGTTGGGCCGTGCCGGACCAGATCTGACATGTCGTGGCAGCCAGGGGGATCTTCTCTATCCTTTGCTCTGTCTGCATACGGTCTGCACACACTGTACCTCCCGTGACCTTCCCTCCACCCACCTCCAGGCCCTGTGTTGTCCCTTCACCTGTCCTCCTGGAAACAGTGGGCTGCCGTTAAGACCCAGCGGTCAGCGATGAGAGCACCCCCACAGATGTGTCGACCCCGAATCTGGAGGCTGGCCTGCCATGGCCACTCACCCTCAGAAGACACGGACCCGCCCACAATGCGGCTGGAGGGGCCCTGGAGGCCACAGTCTAGGGGTGGGAGAGGGCCAGGGGTGGACAGAGAAGGAGGAGGGGGAGGAAGAAAGGCTAGTGAGAAGGGAAACAGAAAACAAAGGAAAGTGGGGGAAAGGGGAGATGTGCCCAGGAAGAGGTGATGGTGCCACTCCCCTCCCAGGTCCCCACGAGGATCCCTGCCCCCTCCCCAAGGCCTGGTCTTCATGTGCAGCTGCAGCGGGCAGGCTCACCGCAATGTCGCTCGTCTGAGCCGTCACTGCAGTCCAGCTGTCCATCACACTCTGGGTTGGGCTTCTTCACACAGCTCCGGTCCTCACACTGGAAGGTGAATGTCCCACAGGGCACTCCTGGGATGGAGGGGACCAGGCAGGCCACCGAAGGTGGGTCTCTGAGCCCCGAGGGAGCCTTCCAAAGTGAGACCCGGAAAAAAATGGCACCAGGAGAGGCCAGGAGACTAGGGAGGGGCCTCAGTCACACCAAAGGGTTCCCCAGGTCTTCTCTAGGGTCTCCTCCCACCCTCATGCAGCCTGGTCCCATTGATAGTGAGGCTGTGTTCCCTCTCAGACTAGAGCTGCTTGACCTCACACTCCCATAATGCCCCTAAAAGCAAAATCATGCTTTTCCTATCACACTAGAGACCCAAGAGCAAGGCCACGTTTCCCCAGCAGTCGAAGACTCCCTTCTGCTCTGTTGTCATAGACATCCAACACCACCTGCTCTGTGCCTGTCCTTGCTTCCTTCCCTCCAGCCTGTTCAAGTTCCATCTCTCTGCAGGGCCCAGCTGAAAGCTTACATCTAAGATGCTCCCATGCCCCCATCCTTCCCACACTACCACACGTGGTGTCCCAAAGACTTTTGGTCACCTGTCACATCCTCTTACTAAGAGGTAAGGGCATTGAAGGGCAGGTACCACATCACTGTTATCTTATTTCTGCCCCCTCACTGCACCTGACCCATCACTTGGTAGCCTGCTAGTGCTGGTTGGTTTGTCAGTTGGATGGTGGGTGGATGGATGACCAGGTGGCTAGCAGACTGGCTGACTAGTGGAGGAAACGGTCTCCTAGAGAGATAGTGTGTATACAGAGAGATGGTTGCCATGTCAGTAGATCGATGGATGAGCATGCAACTATGTGAAATAGTGGATGGAAAGGGTGATTCAGAAGCAAAGATGGAAGGGTGGATGGATGGATGGATGGATGGATGGATGGATGGATGGATGGATATTATAGGTGGATAATGGGTGAGTGGATGACTGAATGGATGTTGGATAGTTGGGTGAATGGATTGATGGATGGATGGATAGATGGGTGAATGGACGGATGAGTAATGCATGGGTGAATGGATTGATGGGTGGATGGATGGATGGATGGATGGGTGGATGGATGGATGGATGGGTGGATGGATGGATGGATGAGTGGATGGATGGATAGACAGACCTCTGAGCGGACAGCTGATCATGCTGACATAGGTACAGTGGGTTGATGGTATTTGAACAGGAAGACAGATCTTTGTATTAGAAGGTGTTGCTGTGACCTCCCTTTGATCTCCTTGGAGACCTGGGCAGGGTCCTCCTACCTTCTTGGCACTGCTCTTCATCACTGCCGTTGAGACAGTCAGGCTGCCGGTCGCACACTCGAGGCAGTGAGATGCATGTGCTGTCCTCTCGGCACTGGAACATGGCTCTGCAGACTGTGGGCACAGAGGACCAGACTGGGGCTTTACAGTGGCAGCAGATGCTCCCCGTATCGTGTCCGCCATTACAAATCCTTCTGGTAGCAATGCTGGCAAGCCCCATTTCATTGGTGGGGACAGATATGAATGATGTTTCTGAGGTCCCCAGACATTCAGGATCAAATACAAAATGTCTTCCTCTGATTCTCTCCTCCCAGACTGAGAACACAAGGCAAATGCAGAGTATGACAGCCCAGATGCCATAGCGCTCCGATGCCTGGGCAGTGGGTCTAGGGGCCAGAGGCTGGCATTTCTCACAACTGTTCCTGAAAGCCCTAGTCTGGAGACCACCAATTCCTACCTAAGGCTGGAGGAATGAGAGCCTCATTCAAGGAGAAGGATATAGGATTCCTACCCTGGATCCCATTCCCTGTCAGTCCCAGCCCCAAAACCATCCCTACCTGGTCCTGCCCTCCCTGTCTTGGTTATTTTTCAGAAGACTAGCTAGGACAGATAACTGGCCTATTTGTCTGTGATGCAGGGAGAAATCTGAGCTGAGGGTCACAGCTTGTCCCAGACACTGCCTCAGGGGGTGGCTCCAAGAAGGCTACTTTCCCATGCTGCCTCCTTGCCGTCCTGACACAGTAAAAGAACCCTGGGTTCTTGGATGCTCATAAGGGGGACTCAAGGGGTAGAGTTAAATCAGTGCGGGGAGGGAGGAGAGCGGAGTGACGGTGGCAGACTACTCACCACAGTTTCTCTCATCCAGGCCGTTGGGGCAGTCCTTGATCCCATCACATGCAGGGACACACAGTCCATTCACGGAGCAGAGGAACTCTCCAGGGCAGGCTGGAGACCCATGCGAGGCCACGGAAGCAGAAGGGTACCATTAGGACACATGGCATGAAGTATATGAATCTATGTCCTTACACACCTGATAGGTACCTATACACCTGCTCCAGGGCCGTGTCCATGGTCCATGCAAAACCACATCCAGATGACACACACAAAGAAATACATGGAACTGTCTGCCCAATGTGCACTCTTACATGCGGGCGTGCGAACACACACACACACACACACACAGCACTGTTTGTGCACATCTGGGGACAGCAAAGGGGCAGGATAGCCCCCTCCCTCTCCCCCTGCCATACTCACGGTCTGACTGGTTGTACAAACTGTAGTACACTTGCACACCAGGGCCGGTAAGGGAGATCTGGGAGGTGAAGTTGATGGTGACACCAGCTGAGGCCACCATGGGGATCCTCTCCGCATATGGCTGGAGGGTGCGGAAGCCACACAGCCTAGGAGTGACCAGGGGTGGCTCAGACACATGGACTGGTTTCCCAGCCAAGAGAAGGAACAGCTGGGGTCCCTATGCACAGACAGGATGAGGACCAGGCAGCTGGAAGCATCGGCCCCACCCACACCCCCTCTGTTTTGATTTTCCTCTGCTGACTGCCTGCCTGGTCCTAGAGTCATCGTCTCGAAAGGAGCTTGTTCATGTCACATCCCTGCTCAAAGACCTGCAGTGGCTCCTCCCCATTGCCTGTGGGATAAAATTCAGTCCAGATTCTAGCCCCGGTCACCCAGAAGCTCTGAGAATCTAGCAAGTAGGTGACCTCCGAGTCTCACTTTCTTTCCTTGTTCCATAAGGAAAACAATCATTCCTGCCGACTTTGGGGTCTACAAAAGGCTTCTGCAGAGGCGGAGGGCCTGCCTGGTCAGTGGGCTGGCCAACTCTCTGTAGACTGCTGTCCCTCACCTCCCCACCAAACACAGAGACTCGGCCTTCTTATTTACAGACAGTTGACCAACCCACTGACCAGGCAGGCAGGCCTCCTTAGGCCACAGACAGATGACTGAGGAGCAGTTCAAGGTAGAACAAGAAAGTGCCTCCAACCCAGCTCCCTGCAGGAGGCGCTCTGGAGACCAAGCCCCCCAGACCCCTGACCTTCACCATCAGGTTCCTGGCTTCAGGTGCATGTATGGCCTCACAGCCGTTCATAGTTCTCAGAGTGCAGTCCAGAGACCTCAGGGGGCCTAAAAGGCATCCTAAACGGCATCGCTCTAAGGCTGCTTAACCCTTCCTCTCTCATTCTCTTGCCTCACCAAGCAGAATTCTCCAGACAGGTGATTGGTACCCCATAACTGATGTCAGATAGGGGTGTGAGGGTGCCAGTTCTGGACTATTAAACCAGTTATTAAATCTTCAAAAGATCTGGAGATTCTACATTTGTGTCACTAAATGTTGGGGTGCTTCATCATTTCAAGGCAAATTAAGGGGTCTTGAGAAGGAGTATTTTGAGAATCTCAGAACAGAGCTGCTTCATCACAGAAAGGATCACCACCAGGGGGCGCTCGGAGCAAGCTTGGCCCTTTGTGCCACTGCCCCCCCCCCCCCCCTTTTACAAGCTAAGGAAACATCGGTTCTTGCGGACGAAAGATAGAATCCTATATTGTTATCTTCAGAGGACAACTCCAGGAAGTGGGCTGTGCGTTTGGGAAATGTGATTTTTCAAAAACCTTATTTACATTAAAGCACACATTTTAAAGGAATCGCTGTAGTTTCCCCGATATATGGGGGAGACATTCAGATCCCCATGAACACCAGAAATTCCAGGCAGTGCCCACGACCTGTACTGTGCTCTCCCTATACACACGTCAAAATTAAGTCTCTCTTTGTAAGTTAGGCTCTGAAAGAGAGCGGTAACTAATGAAACAGGTTTACTTCTGAATTTTCCGCTTAAGTATTTCCGATCACAGATTTCTATGAGCAACGAAGAGGGAACTGATGAAGCACACATTTCTGAACTTCTCAGGTTTAACTCCTGACTCAGGCATTTAACCTGCTTCAGCAAGGTTGCTGGCCTGTGTCAAGGAGACTAAAGACGAAGAGCCAGAGGCCAGGAGCTCTTAACAAGATGAGTACCACTAGGGGGCGTCCTGGAGCAAGCCCAGACCCAGGCTAAGGGAAACCCCACTGTGTCTTGAGGGGGTTATTTGTATAAACTTGTGTTTTAGTTATGATAACATAGTTATTAAGGGCTGCTATACTTAGACAGGGCCCCAGGAAGTTGACAGGGTGACTTGGAGCACCCCTGAACAAATTTAAGATTCAGGCATGGCCCTCTGAGATTCCGGCCCTGCATTCCTCTTGCCCACCAGGCCCTGTCACCTGGACAGCTAAGTGTAAGGGTCAGAAGGTGCTGAGGCCCTGTGTGGCCTGCCTTGCTGTCTCACCCCTCTGAATTTGGGGAGAGTCTTTCCCTTGGGGCTTAGCCAGATGCTCGGCGAGTACCCTGTCAATCTGACGTATCAGCAGCTCCCCACAGAGGGGTTGGAGAGATGCTGGGTAGATAGGCAGAAGCATGGGGAAGAGGAAAGGAGGGATGAGGGGCCGAACCTCACATGGCACATGCCTTCTTCTAAGGACAAGGGCCAAGCTGAAGGAAGGAAGGCAGAGAGACAGCACTGAGGAAGGCACAGTGGCTGGCTCTCTGGTGGCCAGGACATTTGACTAGCACTGCAGAGCTCAGTCTGATGTAACTTTGTCACCTGACAAGCTGTGTGACTTTGGGAGCAGTGGCGGCACTGTAATCAGGTGACAGCCATCCCCTGCCCCTACCTCTTTGCAGGTATTTCCAAGAAGATCTGGAAAAATGGTTTTCGGGAAAAGTGGCACCCGACACAGGTGACAGCACATGACACTGGCCACAGGGCCTTAGGGAGGCAGAAGGGCCACCTAGAGCCAGGCCAAGCCACAGGGGTCTACCATGGGCCTTATCTCCTGGCTGGAAGCTAGCAGAAAGGGTCAGGCAGGTCACAGGAGAGTGACGTCACAGGAGAGGAAGTAAGGGCAGGTTCCTGGAAGGGGGGAAGCTGTCACTGCGGTAGCACCCAACAAGGAGGTTCTGCGAAACCCAGCAGCCAGCAGCCGGATCTTACAAGGACAAAAATCTCCACCACCTACAGGCCACTGGAGGATCCTGCCAGGGCATAAGGAAGAGCTGGGAGAAAACGGTGGATGGGTTGGGGGCCAAGGGTGACCAGCCAGTGGGAAGACCCCCTTGGCACCTGGGGCAGAGGCTCAGTCGCCTTTCAACTGTACCCCTCAATGACTGGGCCAAATGACCTGGTCTCCCTCTCCCCTCATCCACATCTCAGGCCCCAGCTACCCACACAGCAGATTTTCCAAGACACACTCTTCAGAGAATTTCCCAGCAATGACATATCATTATCAGCCCACAGTAACCAGAGACCAGGACCCCAGGCCTCCATTGTGTTGCTCCCATGATGCCTTGCCTTCCACCAGGCATGACCTAGGACCAGGAGATCGATCTCCACTGGGGGGACCCTTCATCCCGAGTGAGGGGCTGAGATGAGGTGGGACTTTTCCAGCCATTCTCAGAGAAACTGGTGAGAGCAGCAGAGACGGCCTCCTGTCCCACCAACAGGCGGGTGCCCTGGCTAGGAATGGCTCTCCTGAGAGAGAGCACATCCTAGGCTGCTTGGAGCCTTTGTAGGGACACATCACACCAGAGTGAGCACTCCTGCAGGTGTGCACGCACACATGGACAGATACAGCTGGCAGTCATGCCCCAGGGGCCCCAGCTGCGTGGGCTCAGTGATGATGTCACAGGCCACAGGGGCTTTTGGCAGATGACTCAGCCAAAAGTTTACAGCTGGAAACCCGGTCTGGAGGAAGGACATTTTGGAAAGTGACAGGGTCAGGGGCTTTCCTTAATGAATGCATTAATCTACTCACGAATTAACAGATGAAGGAATAAGAAGCACTGGCGGGCGGTCTCAAGAGTGATGCTGTCATGCAAGGCAGTTCAGCCCTGCCTCATCACATAACCCCATCTGCCATGGCATGACTCAGCAGAAAGCCAAACAGATTCAGCTGCCATGTTCTTAGACTTCAACCCTCGTAACCATGAGCCGAGCAAACCTCTATTCTTCATAAACCACCCTGCCTTGGGGATTTGGTTATAGTCACAGAAAACAGGTAGAGACATGATCTTAGCATGACATCATTGCTAGACTGTGGGATGCGCATACCCCCCGTTTCAGGCCTGCCTGGCACAGAGTAAGGGCCAGCTGACAATCATGGTTGGTGTGTTCTTCATCTACCATCGTATTTAGTCTTTAGCAGAAGGGGTCTACCTCACGCCCTTTGGTTTGTTTGGTTCTGTTTTGTAGAAAGGTACTCCCATTTGCCACAGCAGGTCTGTGGAGGCCAAAGAACAACTTTCGGGAGTCGGGTCTTTTCTTCTACCATGTTGGTTCTGATTGAACCCAGGAGGCTGGGCTGCAGGCACCCTTACCCACTGAGCCTACTTGCAGGCCCTTTGTTTTTGTTTTTTTTAATGATTGTTATTGGAGACTACTGGGGTGGAGCCCAGGGATTGCTGTATGCTAGGTGAGCACTGCATCCTCAGAGCCCATCCAAGCCTCAGCATACCGAGATGAGATCCTGAGGCAGGGAGAGGTAGGTCTTGCCCAAGAAGGAAGCACAGGAGCCAGGCTTTGAGGACCAGTCTTCCTACCTGGAGCTGGTGACCATTGGGAGTGGCCTTACTGTGACCCATCTGGGTGACCCCAGTGAAACCGGTGCTTATGTTGAGCACTGAGCTCCAGGGTTCACAGCACTTGGCACAGGACCAGCCTCGACTAATAGGATAGCCAGGGGCACAGGGTGCAAGGGGGTGACAAGCCCAAGGCTGTCCCCTCTCCTTCTGGACTCTCAAGGATAGAGACATGACTCAGGGGCTGTGACTGAAAACAGAGCGCCTACTGTCACGGAACTCCAATGCCAGGGTTACCTAGGCTCTGACAAGCAAGCAAGAGACCAGCTACTCTCAGTGTGGGCAGTGGCTGAGGGAGCTCTGTGAAAGAGAAGGGAAGCCATGACAGCACCCTCCTCCAGGTGGTGGGAGACATCTCTGTTCCCTAGACATCACAGGCTTATGTCTCAGGGAGCCTGTCACCCCAACAGCGTGGGCCCACATCAAGCCTGGGCATCTTAACCTCCTTTCTGTCACTGTCCTGAGGAATTGGAAAAAGCAAGCATTGCTACTCTGTCTAGAATAAGAGCAACCACCAGGCAAACAGGGCCTAGCAGTGTCCTCGGTTGCTGGTCCTGGGGGACCTCACCCTCCTGGCCAATTCCAACCCCCCCCCACCTCCCATCTCAGCTCCTTCTGTTCCCTGTAAGCTTTCAAGAGGATGTTCTTAGCTTGAAATTTCCTTGCAAGGAAGCCAAGGGTAGAATCAGGGAACAGGTGAACAATGCAAGAAACACAAGTGCCCAGGGCCACCCAGAGAACTGCTGTCCCCGTGAAAGCCAAGAACACCAAAGACGATGGGGTCCTCTGGATGTAGGGAATGGGGGAAAGGCTGGCAGTGCCTCTGTGTGCTCTCAGGCGCCCTGCACCCCTTCCCTACAGTTGGCAGGTCTATATCGACTCTAACTGGGATCGCTGTATAAGACACCTGTCTGAGGCCTGCAGGGCACCTAGAGAAGCTGGGCTGGAGTAGGGGTGGTCAGGACAGTGGGGACAGTCAGAATGGTAGGTTTGCCCAGCCTCAGCCTCTGCTCACTCTCCTATCTCCCAGGCCGGGCAGGGGTATGGGGACTTGAGGTCCCTGTGAGGGAGGGGGAGGGGGAAGGTTACCTCCTGTTCTGGATCACCCACTGGCCTTGGGTACACAACAGGTTGTATTTCTGCCTCCTCAGTGCATAAGCATCAAACCAGAGCGCCAAGCCGTAGTCCAGAGAGGGTACCTGGGAAAGAAGGGCAGGTCATCACGTTTATCATAGGGTATGGCCAAGCTGGGGCACCGATCCCCTCAGATAAACACGCTACCACCACCACCATCCCAGCAGGCTTTGTACTTAGCCTGTGAGCCCTGGGGCAGGACAGAATGTCACCACCTCCCATCCCAGGTGCTGAAGCCCAGTGGATGGCTCCGGATAGACGGCCGGCTCCCGGTGGGGTGGAACTCACCGTGAGATGCCAAGAGCAGTGGGTTCTGGGTGAGTAGTAGCTGGGGTAATAGGGTGTGTGGAGGAAGCCCTGAAGATCCAGCCGGTCCTCCAGTGTCAGGTTCACCTTGCAATCTGGGTCCAAGAACAAGTATCAGGCTGGGTTCTGTGGCCCTCCCACAGGACCTCACTGCACCCCACTGCCTCTAACAGCAAAGCCTGGAGCCAAGCATGACTATGTAAGTGTGCCTCAGTTTCCTCATCTACAAAATGGGGAGAAGAGCGCCCACCCGGTGGTGAGCAGGTGTAATGGACATAGCGCATTCTATCTGCTGGTCAGGTTGATCTTGCCAAGTGACCTGGGCAGTGCACTTAACAGCTTCACAGCATAAGCAATATGCTCACAGCAGGCCTCACGGTGCAGCTGTAGAGGGCACTGCACTTAACAGCTTCACAGCATAAGCAATATGCTCACAGCAGGCCTCCCAGTGCAGCTGTGGAAGGAAGGCTGCTCCTCTGCAAAGAGGCTTGGAGAGGCTGAGGGCATAACTCCACGCTAGAGCATTTGCTTAAAATGTGTCCTGGCTCTAGGGTCCATCCCAGCACCACACACACAGACACACACACACACACACACACACACACACACACCACACATCTATACACACAGACCACACACACATATCACATAGACACAGTCACACACACACCATACATATATACACGCAGACCACACACA